CTGACTCATGATCTTAACCATTGAGATAAATGCATTTATTAAATACAACATAATACGTAAAATGTTATTATTATTATTGATATATAAATACTGTATTTATGAAATGGCCATCCAGTGATTCCAGGTTATCCATGATATTCTAGCTTTAACTGATTCATGAATTTAATGATTAAATTGCTATATACATGTTTTTATATATTTAAATTATAATACTAAAAGTTGTGTGGGTTAAATAGCATTTTAAGATATCAAATAGGAAGTCCTGAAAAATAAAATATATCAAGTTTAATTGATTTGGTTATGAACCTAGCAATTGTATTAATATTATAAAAATAACTCTACAGTACGTTAAAGAGCAAAATATCTGTTAACATGAAGATCTATCGTTTATATATTGAATGAAGATAGTTGAATATATCGTCAAATGAGCTGAAAAATAGCTTTCCAGTTTATTACCAATACGCATATAAACAAAAGTATGTTGGAAGCCAAATCGTGAAATATATATATATATATATATATATATATATATATATATATCAGAAAGGGTTTTGTGGAGATTTTAATAATTTTAATGGTTAAAATCATGAGTCAATTGAATCTAGACCACCATGAAAACCCTGGAAGCACCGGACGGCCATTTCGTCTTAGAATGGGACTCCTCAGCAGTGCGCATCCACGATCCCGCACTCCGCGATACTCCAATCCATGACCTATTAGTTATCATCCGCTCACTAGTGACTGACTTCAAGATGTATTTCCTGGAGTTCTAGTAAGAAGCTGTGACCGGTGAAGTTCAACCAGGTCTATTGTGAAATATACATATATATATATATATCCTTTCTAAACAATTAAGTCACTGCATTAAAGTATTTTATCAATGAAATGTTTGTCTTTTACAATTTTAAGCTTCTATATCCAGTAGAATAATGATTAAGTAGTTTTGACAAGTAAAATATTAATTTTCATTAATTTTTATTTTTATATTAACTAATTAAACAAGAATGTTTAACGAGTAAATAACTAAAAAGTAGTACTTAAATGATAGAAATAAAAATTAACAAATTTAAAATAAACAATAAATGACCAATATAAGTGTATGGAGTGTTTAAGAAATAAAGATGATAAAAATAAATAAAGTAAAGCACTTTATGTTGTATAATTAATTTAACTTAATTAAATACTATGCAAATAATTTCCTATCTACTAAACCACAAAATATAAATAAAAGGTTAATATGGAAAGAAAAGAATAATAATAATGATAATATTGAATTTGTTCCTTAATTAAATTCACTTTTGAAGTATTTTTAAAGAGTGAGCATGCCAAAACCGACTAATATGGTTTATTTATTCAAGTGATTTATAATTTTGTTAAATGAATAAGTTTATTCTCAAGAAGTTAGTTATTTACCTTTTTTTTACTTTGTTATATAGATATTATTGAGATAATATAGATAGTGGTTAGAAGTGGAATTCACGACGTGTGTTTCGTCCTATTTGGGATTCGACAACCGGATGTACTTACATCTCAGAATTGATGTTCACTCTGGTACTCGAACCCAGTACCATTCACTGCAAACGTTATCACATTATCCACTTAGCTATTATCCATTTTTGCTTATAATGCTTGTGAATTAAGGCAATATTGAGACAATACACACAGTATGCATATATGCCAATAAAAGACCTAAGCATCAATGAGAAGATTAAAGTAAACAATACCAAGTGAATTTGTTATTGGGATAGTTTGAGTTGATTATTCATAGTAGAAAATAATTCAAAATGTTTAAATCTGAAAAAATAGATACCTATTCAAGAAGTGATATTTATTTCAATGGAACAAAAATGTCACATTGGTTTATTACTCATACCCATAAATTTGATGTTTACTTAAATTTTAGGTAAAACTTGTATAGTTACTTTTAATGATCTTGTTTTAAATGATATCTGAAAACTATAAATAAATCTTTGTCAAACATTAGTTTCTTAGTTAAATGTACACTATAGATTTATTTTAGAAAACAAAAATTAATATGTAATGAAGTTGATGGGCGAAACTATAATTTATGGACGAACCAATCAGATATAAGATAAAGAGTCACAAATCTGGGTGCGGAATTCATTAATCAATTTGGCTAGATAGAGTTTGGGCATTATAGCTGATGTCCGTGCGTGATGAAAACCCTAAATCTAATTTAAAACCCTAACCATCAACTGTTAGTGAGGATTCTAACTGCCTTATAACCGTCATTTAGTCCTAATAAGACGTTGTTCACTCTCAAGATCACTTCAGCGTCGCTAAAAGGTCGTCCATAAATTATAGTCTCACCAAGTTGATGAAATACTTTAAAATAAGTCTAATAATAACATAATATATTGTCCTATAAAAAGTATTATAAACAATCGACTCTTCTTTATGAAAATGCATAGAAATATAGATATATTTCAGGTAAATTATGCATATAAAATTAGCTAAATTGACTTAAATGTCATGACATATCTTATTGAAATTGCATAAATACATCAAAAATATCGAAAAAAGAACCAGAACACAGCAAAAAAAAATTTTTTAATTTTAATCCTAGATACATTATCAATAATAAGATACAAAATAAATAGTAATAATAATCTATCTACTGAGCAGTACGAACAATATAGTTAAACAATTCACAAACACTAAATGGTTGAATTAAATACCATACACTTAAGTAATAAAAGAAAAGTAAATTAGTTTAACCAATTATCATAAATTTCGAATGAGAATTTAAGTAGATGAGGACTTAATATAAATTGGTAATGAATCTGTTATACACGTAAATATTTGTAATCCTTTCTACTATACTTCAAAAAAATAGGCGGTATTTTTTTAATTGGGAACAGCCAATAAACATAATTATGCATTGAACTGTTTATCATTATGCAAACGTATGGTTTTCTTATTATTATGAAATTTTTAATTCTTAAAGCTTACAAAGTGATTAATATAGGAAACAACTTATCATTTGTTTCAAGTGAAAATATCAGCAAAAAAAAGGTTAAACGATTGCTAAGGATGGTATTTACACCTAGTGTAAGTTACTCTTGTTGTAAGTAATCCTCAACAAAAAGAAACTCTAAAGAAACTTAATATAATAGAACAATTTAATAGTAGTAATGGGTGATATTATTAACTATTAAAAAAAGCAGAGAGTTGGACAAATCTGGAATTCCATTATAAAGTGGCTGTAAGACTATAGCAAAATCATGACATTTGTGAGTTTGATGTTATCTCATTCCATTTACTATTCAAAATCTACTTTTGCACTGCTGATATACTACTATTTCTACTTATGCTGGTGCTATTATGACTACTACTTTGGTGAACAAACAAATGAGGTGGGCTGGACCAATGTACTGTATATTGCAAATTCACAGAATGATTTCGCAAAATATAAAAACCATGCTTTATGATTCTTCCAATAATGTTGTTATTACAATTGTCCTTTGTTTTCTTGTCTGTTCTTTTCAATCTTCTCAATATTCTGCCTCTAGACATTTAACTTTAGATTGATATTACATACTATTTATATCTACCAACACAAGTAGTATATACCACACTAACGCTACTACTATTACTATTACTTTATAACTAGTTACTTGTCAATGAAAACTAAGAAATTAAAGATCTATATTTAGATGTCAATAAAGCATGTGACAGTAACATTTTTATCAATTATTTCTTAAATTTATTTCACATAAAATGGTAATAAATTATTATTGTATCCATCCAAATGACTTGAATTATCATGTTGTCATTGTGTTTTTTTTGGATTTTCATATGAGAACGTTTCAGATATATTAGACGTTTTTAAAAACCATAACTAAATACTGACCAAAAAAGTAATAAATGATTGGATAATCAGGCTTTGCAGTTAAATTTCAATAATTCTGTATAACTATTTATGACAAATAAATGAGATAGACCTTCATCAAGATATCTGTGTAATTAGGAAAACCTTAGTGATATATATATATATATATATATATATATATATATATATATATATATATATATATATATATATAACTTTTAGGATAAGATATATTATAAATTGATGTCAAATATTAAATTAATTTCCAAAACTAGTTCCAGTGAACTGTCTTATTCTTTATTCCACACATCTAGGCAACATATAACCACGTCCTATTTATGATTTACATAATTAGGATCCATTGGCCATCTAGTCAGTATGATATAACTAGACCAGTTAAATTTAAAAAATTTCACAACTAAATAAACATCCATGACAAAACATTTAATTGTAGGACTAAATTCATATTTTCACTGGTCTTGTTTTATAACTTAATCCCTGGTATTCAGGTTCATAATAAAATGTACACAATCAGCGAGATTACAATTTTAGCAACATCACTTGTTTATTGACATACAACTTCACTCTGTCGTTACTTCAATAACATTACATGTTGTGCTTTAGATTTATGAAGAAGTAGATGGAAGTAAGTTGGAATTTGACATGGATTTCACACTTCATCACTAATCTTGATAACAGATAAAATGTTATCAGTTAACATCTAATTCTTAATGACCTTCAACGATTACACAAATGTTTTCCCTTTGTTTTATTGGAGGTTACATAACCACAAACTATATTAATCAAAATGTATGCATGGTTCTGTAAAAGTAATTAAACTAATTAGTAAACATTGTAGTGATACTTATAATTCGAAAAGGTTTTTAGTTTTTCTGGTTGCTTATTGAATAGTTTTTATTTTAATTTTGCACATATACCGTACTCATTCACAAGTCCTGACAGTCTAACTCATGTTATTTTGTAGTATCTTCAAGTTCAGAGACCAATTAAATTCTTACTACTTAAGGCTTTAAACTGTTATGTTTACTTGTTCATCATAAGACCAAAATACCATAAATCCAATTTGGATTTTAAATTATTGTACCTTATTATAACAACTGTTTTCCTTCCGAATTATTGTTTTTAGGTAGTTGCATTTGATTCAGGTATACCAAGTTTATCGACAAGCACAAATGTCCATATTATTTTGGATGATATTAATGATTGTATACCAAACTTTTCTCAATCGGAATACAATTTTACTATAGTTGAAGATTTTATGCAAAATTATACTGGACCAAGAACTATTGGCATGGTGGTTGCAACTGATTGTGACATTGGATTGAATAGTATGTTAATCTACTCTCTTCTTGATCCCGGTTTACCTTTTGAAGTAAGTTGAAAAATAAATCAATAAATCTAAACTATATCAAAATCGTATAACTATGGACAGTACATACTCATAAAGTTATCCTATTTGTACCATATTACTACATTATCTCAAAATTATACAGACCATATTGGCATTGGTTACCTGCCATGACGTTTTTCGAAAATATATTTATGAACACAGATGCAACTTCTCATATCTTATAAACAGTAAAAAACATCGTTGTCATTAAAGTGGCACTCATTCATCCATAACCATTATTCACCTGACTGATCTAGTTGACCCTATCTGGTAGAACAATGTAGTTTGTGAAATATTCACCTAGAAACTGTAAGCTTTCTATACATAAAAATGTAATTAAGTAATCATAACGAATTAGCTCAATTGAATATGTAAAATTAAGTATTAGTCAATGTGATTAAAAACAACCCGCTAACCATCAGACCCAACGAATTCCAATGACTTTTGTTGTGATGACCTGATAGCCGATTGATACAGTAAATAGGATAATATAGACTAATTAACAGATAATCTGCTTATGGGCTCGTAACTTAGATCTTGGATGAATAGACTCTAAACAACAGAACAATAGACAGACCGACTGAATTTATGAATGTACACTAATAAATTTTGTCTACTATTTCTAAGCATAATATTTATCCACAATAATACTATTGTGCTTCTGATCAAACAGTAAATGACTAATCATATAAAGAAAAATGTAATTACTAACTATTCATGGATCCACGTCCTATCAGTAGCTAGAAGAAATTGATAACAGAATTTCGTTTACAGTATATTTAAGGAAGTTCATATGATACTTGCTCCATATATTTTAGCAATACAATAAACCATTTAAATCAAAATACTAAGTAAAGTTAAATCTATTAACTGAAGTCCTCAATAGAGTATGCATTTATTGATTTGACTGTGGATTAAATATTGTGTACGAAAAGTTGTCCTTTTGAATAGTTTTTTTTAATATATGGTATTTACAAGCACCAAAGGATTTACTCTTTGTATTATATACAAGAAATAATGTTATCAATGAATTGACTATCCGATTTTTTCCCAATACAACTAACTTGGAATTCTTCTCATATCCAACTTATCGATTTTAAGTTTGAACAAGTTACAGCGATAAATTCTAGACATAATTTCATGTAAATTATTAACAAAATATCATTTCGAAAAATTGGTCTATGTTCAAAAGGGGTTCTGTAGGGATTTTAGAAATTTCAATAGTTAAATCATGAGTCAATTGAAGTTAGACCACCATGGAAAACCTGGAATGACTGGACGGCTATTTCGTCGTAGCATGGGACTCCTCAGCAGTGCACATCCACGATCCCGCACCGGCTTTGCGGTCTAATTGGTTAAGCGTCTGGCATGAGACTGATAGGTCCTGGATGGTAGTGGTCTAGCTTCAATTGTTTCATGATTTCAATCAGTGAAATTGATCTATGTTTACATTTTTGACTTCACTTCTGTTTGGTTTATTAGCTAATCATTACAACAAACAACATGAAAAATTAGTCATCTTTTACTGATGTTTGTAACATGATTTATCTCTTACTGTAACTATAGATAGTAGAATAATGTTTAGTTAAAATCATATTTAGTTTATTCCTTATTACTAATGTCTTATAGAAACTATTCATTATGATAAATGTTTCCATCACCATTTGATCTCATTTCAATAACAATTGAACATTAAATAGCATCAGATAAATATTTAGTTTTTATTTAAAACTATTAAGTAGTATTTAACCAGAACGGTTCATGTTTTCTTTGATTTATAAACTACTCATTGATATAGAGTTCTATGTTAGAATTCAACATTTATCCAATTATACTTAATTGTACAAAAATTTCCTTGAATAATCTTCAAATATTTTCTAAAAACCAATGCTAAATTAAATTGCCGCGCATTGATTACAAACCAAAAAGCGAAAAAAAGATACATGCTATATGATGTGAATCAACAAATATATATTAAACATCAATAATGTTAATTTTCCAATTAATTACCGGAAATATTCATTTTAAAAATTAATCATTTTATCATTAAACTAAGAAAAAACTAAGATGTTTATTTTGACATTATAATAAGGATAATTAATATGTAAACTGAATTAAGTTTTTGAAATATTGGAAGTATATAATTTTCGGCTTATACTTCACTTATGAACTTGATCTCATTGTAAATGATCCTTTAATATGAATTCGAATATCATTTTAAAAAACTTGGTTAACATTGGTTACATAATCTATGATAGATATCTAAGATAATGAATTTTATAGCATGACTGGTTTTTATTTCATCTACAACCAAATAAACATGTTCATAATGATATTCTTTTGGGTCATTATTTTATCATTTTGATAAAGTACTTTTTCATATCTGCAAACTGATGACTATGTTTAGTTAACTATTAAGATAAGGTCATTAATACTGTAATTCATCCCACCTAATCCATTTCAAAGCTTCAATGACAATTTTAGCCAAGTATTAGTGACTTTCGAATAACCACTTCTTTTAAACGTCACATTTCACAACCATAAAGAAAAGTTAAGCGAAATACTGAGCTTTTTTTTACAAGCGGTGAGGGTTATAAACTAATCTCGAGATTTTACCAAACATCAACCTATATGGGTTACCAAGACTTTCAAAATAAGTGAAGTGGTTGACTTTCGCAACCATTTTATCCTCCAATACTATTGTAGGTATTGAACCTGACCAATCCTAATGAAGCATTTTGAATTTTGGGAGAGAAAACTTATCTATAAAACTGGGTGACACGGCATCATTTCTCTCAAGATTACAGGTACACCTTGCCGAATAGCACGAAAAGTAGTTCCAGAGTTTCGTGACGACTACCTGCGACTACCGTCCCATCTCAATTCAGTGGATGCGATGTCCAGTCACCTATACTATGGGCCATTTTCTAACGATCTATAGAATTTGATCTGCACTAAGAAGAACCTAATAAGCTTGACATTGATCATTAACCGATGATCAATTAGTTACAAAACGTTTTAACATCCATCTCCAAGTTTCGAATGTCATTATCATTGTAAAAAGATAGTGTTCTATGTTTTTACTGTATTACAAAATTATTAGACAAATAATCGATTGACTTAACAACAAGGAAAAATCTCGGGAAAAACATAAGCACAAAAGACTGAAAGTGAAAAGAAATCATTAATTAGATGAAACCGATGAATATGAATTAGTAGACATAAATCTGAATTAGTAGAAGAACTATCTAGAACTAAACATATTATCAATAGGATTAAAACTTATACATTTAGCAATGCTCTCGATAAATTAACTAATATTAACCATGAGTTATGAAAAACAAGATTATATGACAGCATACTCTCATTGATATTCTCTCAAAACTAACGAACGAATGACATTGAACTACTAATATATTCACTCTATCAACCATTTTATGCATTAAGGACTTGTGAAGTTCTCAAAACTCATATGTGAATAAGAATTATAAATACATCATCATTCCCGTTATCAGATCATCCGAATTTATTTGTGAAAATTAATTTTACATTCATTAAATTAACAAACGAATAAATTATACACAGGAGATATGAGACTGTGTTACAACACATATAACTATAAAGTAATGGAATCTCCTTGCCATTTTAAACATTGCGATCTAGTTTTTTATGTTGTTTACCTATCTAATTTGAAAATCGGTACTAATAAACCGCAATTATTAAATCTTTAAACAATACCAAAAAATGTATTTTTTTGTGACTATTGTTTTATTTCTATTTAACTTTAATCTTATTTATTTATTTATTTTAACACATAGATAATGGCTCAAGAAGGCACCAAATGCATATGCGCCACACAAATCTCATTTGATTTGTGCGAGAGCTGTGATACTGCCCGGGTGCCCAAACCGAAGCAGATGGTTCTCTTAGGGGGCCACTCCCGGAGCCTTCGACCTGACGGTCTGATCCACAAGGCAGCGGAACAACGTAAGGAGTTGCAGTCTCATGGTAGCCATTGACCAACAATTGATTCATGCGCCATTTGTTCCATTAGGATATTGGAGCTCATGTGCAACATTGATTTGGATTCAAAGTTTTCCGACTCCCCTAGGTGGGCTTTCCATGCCCACCAACCCTGTTAAACCGACGAACATCCGCTTATCGTTCTCTCGAGTTCGTAAACAACATCCCCGCCATGAGTAGGACTTCCCTGGCAGAGGCTTTATATGCGTGGCCATGTGAGAGTATTTCAAGAGGGAGAGCGAACTCTCCCTACTCTCGGCTATACCTAGGCATTTGGAAGCTAACCTCAATCTAATAAAATATGTACCGTATTTTTACTAATTCAACTACATTTGTTGAATAAAAGTGAAAGACTGAGATATAAATGCTTCTTTATAAACATACTTTATTAACACATTAATAATATGATTACAATATATAAATTGATTGACATAACATAAGTATATTATTTCCTAAATAAACAAATTCTTTATAAACAAACAAAATAATGATATGTTAAATTATATTTAAATAAACCATATAATATATCATTACAATTTGTCGATATATAACAGTTGTTCATAGACCACCTACATAATTCCAACAACAACAATAACCAAAAACAAAATATGATTGAACTAAACAATTCATTAAGATTCATCTAATGAAATATTTATAATAATCATAGGTAAATATCTATATAAAGAAGTTAATTTATGTAAAAACTATCAATCATAAAATCTATGCATAATGGTTTAGATACTTTTTGAAATTATTCACTATAAGATTATAAATTGTTCAAGTATTACAAGATTATTACGTACTTACTTACATACGTCTGTTACTCCCAATGGAGCATAGGCCGCCGACCAGCATTCTCTTAATCCACTCTGTCCTGGGCTTACTTTTCTAGTTCCATCCGATTCTTGTTTATTTTACTCATGTGTATCTCTGTTGCCCGACGTTATGTGTTCTTTGGTTTTCTGCTTTTCCTTTGGGCTTGAGGGTTCCACGTGAGCGCTTGTCTTGTGACGCAGTTGAGTGCTTTCCCCAATGTGTCCTATCCACTTCCAGCGCTTCTTCCTGACTTCTTTCTCCGCTGGAATCTGGTTTGTTCTCTCCCACAGTACGTTGTTGCTAATAGTGTCCGGCCAACGGATCCGAAGTGTTTTGCGTAGACGACTGTTAATAAACACCTGTATCTTCTGGATGATGGCTTTCGGATTTCTCCAGGTTTATGTCCCATACAATAGAACTGTCTTGATATTTGTATTGAAAATCCTTACCTTGGTGTTAGTTGACAGTTGTTTTGAGTTCCAGATGTTCTTCAGTTGTAAATATTCTGCTCTTGCTTTTTCGATCCGCGCCTTCACATCTGCATTAGATCCACCATTTTCACCTGTAAATTGCTTATCAATACGGTAATGAAATGTTAGCTAACTAATTCTAAGTGGTTAATGTAAAACTGTCATAAAGATACATTTTATGAGAAATAACTGACAACTTACTGCAAAGATTCTAGTATTGTGTTGATATACTATATTTCACAAGTACTTAAATGTAATTTCAATCAACTTTGTTGAAACAGCTTCTTTTAACATATTGTAGCCATTGAAGAAAAATATTTTAGAAATTTTTAATCTTTATTATTAATCAATTACTAATCTTTTACGATGCTTCTTTCTACTTAGAGTTTTACCTAATTTTCATCTTGTAATTCCAATTGTGCAACAATTTATTTGTTTTCATTATTTCGATATAGGGCATTAATTATTTCAAAGATAAACTTTGTCAGTCGAACATTAATTAGATTACTAATTAGTCTTTAAGGATTATCTCTACCTAAATTCGTAGACGTTATAATAGGACTAGCATTTTTTAATTATTAATTATCCTTTGGAAATACTTCATATGAACTGATGAATTTAAAGGATGGAATGAACAAAGCTCCAAAATTAATGTTGACGGTTTTAATAGTAGTTAAGAATCACGGTGCACTTAAGAATTCATTGTGGTAAGTTGAACTTTAGTTTAAAATTGTCTCATTATAACTCAATAAAAACAACGTATACATATCAATTTAAGCTTTTTATCAACATAAGATCTCACAAATATTTGACCTATGACAATGGAGAATTATTACACATAGGAGGAAATCTACGAATTACCGATTAAAACATCGGTAGAACATTTTTGTTTTCAGTTAAACTATTTAAATTAAATAATTTTTTTGTAATATACATACATTTAATTAAATTTCATTCAATAAAGAACCTTATTGTATATTTTTACAGATCAATTCCCATGGTCTTTTGAAAACAAACCGTATTATAGATAGAGAGTCCCAATCAATTTATCAGTTTACAGTTCTAGCTACTGATGGTGGAGTTCAGTTAGAAAATAGATATTTACCGGTAAATTATCAAATTGATGATTATGAAGAAGAAATATACGAAGTATCAAAACATAAAATAACATCACAAAATAAAAATAATATTCACACATCTGCAGTCACTGTACGCATATTAGTATCAGATCTGAATGATAATACTCCAATATTTGTATATCCAAACACAAGTGTTTTTAAAGTGAGTTAATTCTTTTGGATAAAAATATGTTTAAATAATAAACCTACCGATTTTAGAAACATAATTTTTCAGTATTATTATTGAATTCTCTTCCTGACATGGTTACGACACCCAAAACATAATAAGTAACGACCCATATATATATTTTTTTCTGACGTTTCGTGGCTTAGTGTAACTCACTTCTTCAGAGAATAAATAACCAAATTAGAAGTAATCCACGTTTAAATAGTACAACGGAACAATAAGAATAATATATGACTAATACTCCATTAGCTCGATTTCATATTTATTTTGTTTCATTATATAAATAAGTTAATTAATCATTAAACTATGATCTTTAGATAAGTTTCTTAAGTCGTAGATTGTTTTGTTCTTTTCATTTTTATTTCAGTTATTCAGAATGAGATAAGCAAACAGTTCCAATATTTCTTAGTCATTTAAATCTTGCATACTTTGGAATTTCATATTGTAGGTAATCTATCTTCTGTTGAAAAAATATGTCTGTAGTTAAATTCATGTGAATTATACAAAATGTAAAAAAATATGATACAAACACTTCTATGAAAGGAATTTCTAGCTCTTTCTATGCTTTATTTGTTACATAAGAAGGATTTACTTTCAAGTCAATGTTAAACATAAATACATTTTTAGGTTATTTTTGTTGTACTTTACAATAACGATAAACTGGATAAATAAAATGATAAATGAATGTCATGTAGAACAAAATAACAAACACCATCATATAAACAGTTTCTGGTTATATTAGAGTAAGTTTCTTAATGCAGATCATTGTAAGAAAAACGAACTCTATTGAAATTTTCCCTATTATGTATTTCACTTTTAAATGACCGATGATCATATTGATTGCTTTGAAACATTTACAGCTTTAGTGATTTCATCTTGATCAAGATGTGAGTAATGCGTTTTTTAGATATGCGGTTTTATGTATTGGAAACCTATATAATATTCAAACAAATAGTGCTGAATCATTTCATTGACAATAAAAGATTTTCTTGCTCTTAAGCCTTTAAATCTTTCATTATACTACTTGAAAACATATGAATGTCTATACTCTGTATGTGTATTCTAGGATGTGTATTGTAACTATATTAAATGTATAAAATATTTACTCAGACAATAAATTATTCAAGGCAAAGATGGAAACTGATCAATTGCGGTCGTAAACATCAATGGGAATGTTCAAACAAACAATACGAAATGAATAAAATATTCTATATTTTATAGTATTGTCTCTCAAAAAGACAATCACTTATGCCTAGCTAATAAGCACAACTTTATTAGCTCATTAACGTAAGACTTAGATGCTTTTCATTTTCAAAATTGTGAATCCGAACCCCAAACATACCACCACTCATATTTTATTTGGTTTGTTAACAGTCATTTGCTCTTGCATCGGTAATCAGCATCATACAAACTTTGGACAATGAATAATTGAATCAAAATGAAAATGACAAATAAAAAATAAATTTAAACAGCTTAACTTATCAAAATACATTTTTATGCTTTCTTCCATACTTTAGAACATAATGGTTTATCAACAATAGGAAATTCAGTATATAAGTTGTTGAAGGTTTTTTTATTACTATTTATTCATCTTTCAGATTCATACTTGTCAGCATGAATCTTAGTCTTAAATTGTTGTGAGCATTGACTTCCAGTTAACTGACAATGTATTATGTATTTAGGTAGTTGATATATATATAAGTTAAAATTAAGTTATATCTTGTGTATAATCACTGGCTCTTTTCACAGACATTATTTAATGTTTATTACACTTACGTCATAAACAAATGTTGAAATCGATTTTTTTGAAGGAATGATCGTTCAACAAACGTTCGTGATAAATATTATACCGTCATTTATGAAAAAAAAAAGAACATATATCAATCGGTGATGATGAAACGTAGATTCGGTAGTCGCTGATTTAAAAAAAAACGAATAACTAAATGCCTTTATTTATATTAAAACAATGAAAATCGATCTCAAACTTTAAAAGTTATTTCATTTATTTGTCATTCCTAATCTTTTTTAAGTTCGTTCTACTTTCACCAATAACTTCAGTTGTAAGTAAATCTATAAATTCACTCATATATATTCTATGCAGCCTTACTCGAAGAAAACAGTTTTGTTTCTAATCTTTGTTTGAAATAGCATTAATTTGTACATGTATGGTGTTTTTATTTTATTTGAACGTAAATATTGGTACAAAGGGGCACTGAATACATATACGCTACGCAAGTCACTTAATTTGTGTGTAATTTGTGATACTGCGTGGGTGCATACACTAAAGCAGAATGTTTTCATAGGAGGCCACTCCTAGAGCCTTCAACCTAAAGGTTTGATCCACAAGGCAGTGGAAAAACGTCAGGAGATGCAGTCCGATGGTAGCCAGTGACCAACGCCTGGTTCATTCGTTATTTGTTCTTTTAGGATCCTGGAGTCCATGTGCACCATTGGTTTGTAATCAGGGTTTTCCAACTTCCTTAGGTGGATCCTCCATATCCAAATGTATAATAAACATATATATTTAAGATAAATAAACTTGACAAAGAGATATGCAGTATAGTTTTTATTTCAATCTCTTGCAAACTACTTGATCTCAGTGATATGTAAACTAAACTTAAATCTAATTAAAAATGTACGACAAACAGAAGTTATGAGAGATCACTTTTTAAAACAATCAAAATAATATTTACGTTATTGGTTAACCATATTATTTGAATAAATTTTTTATTTTCTTATGACAGAATACGTCAAGTTGGATATTGTCTAATTCAAAATTGTTTTGAAATAATAATTCAACACAACATTTCTGTTGCTATGACAGAATTTTACAAAGTTACTCATTATTCACATGCTAAATATTTTGTTTTGCTAAATAAACCTTCGTATAATATATCTAATTAAACTGTTTCATTTCTATTAGAAACATTGTTCTTGTCAAACGTCATATGGAAAAATAGATGTAACAAACTTACTTACTTACTTACGCCTGTGACTCCTCGTGAAGGAGCAAAGACCTCTCACCAGCATTCTCCATCCAACCCTGTCCAACCCAATCCTTTCCAGTTCCTTCCAGTTCCTATTCATCCTTTTCATATCTGCTTCTATTTCCTGACGTAATGTGTACTTTAGCCTTTCTCTTTACCGCTTTCCATCACGATTCCAAGTTAGGGCTTGCCTCGTGATACAGTTTGATGATTTGCGTAATGTATGTCCCATCCATTTCCATCACCTTTTCCTAATTTCTTCTTCGGTTGGAAGCTGGTTTGTACTCTCCCACAGAAGGCTGTTGCTGATGGTATCCGGCTAATGGATGTTGAGTATCTTGCGTAGACAACCATTATAAATACTTGTACCTTCTTGATGATGGTTGTAGTAGTTCTTCAAGTTTCAACTCCATACAGTAGATCTGCCTTGACGTTGGTATTGAAGATTCTCACTTTGATATTGGTTGAAAGTTGTTTTGAGTTCCATATGTTCTTCAATTGTAGAAATGCGGCCCTCGCCTTTACGTCTTCATCTGATCCTTCTTATTCATCGATGATGCGTTCCAAGTATGTGAAGGATTCTATATCTTCCGGAGTTTCTCCATCAATAGTGGTTGGATTGCTGTTCTCTTCTTTGAATTTGAGGACCCTGGTTTTTCTCTTTTGTATGTTGAGGCCTACTGATGCAGAGACTGCTGCTACACTGGCTGTCTTTATCTGCATTTGTTCGTGTGTATGCGATAGAAGGTCTAGGTCATCTCTGAGGTCCAAATCGTCTAATTGGTTCTGAGCTGTTCATTGTATGCCGTGTTTTCCCTCAGATGTCGAGGTCTTCATAGTCCAGTCGACCAGCAGAAGAAAGAAGAAGAGAGAGTAGATAGCCTTATCTGACTGCGGTCCTTACTTGGAATCCATCTGTCAGCTGTCCTCCATGCACGACCGTGCACTGTAGTTCGTCGTATGCCTTTTCATAATCAATGAAGTTGATATATAGTGATGTAACAAAGTTATACTGATAATAGTTCGTTGTCATTATTGAAAAATCTAAACTCAATAATTAAAATCTGTTTAATATTTTTTTCGAATAGATGTACTTTAATTAATGGAATATTAAAATTAACATTTAGAAATTAATAATAAACTTATTGATTATATGTATTTCTTAATTTTAAGGTTCGACTTTCTGTACATGAAAAAAAAGGATTTATAGTAACACGATTAGTAGCTGTTGATAAAGATTCAGGTCGAAATGGTGAGATACATTACAATTTACTTAAAGGTGATCCCAAACATACATTTGGATTACGTCATGATACAGGAGAGATAATTGTAACAAATACTATTCAAAAATCTAAAGATGCAAGTACAATATTTCATTAAACCTTATGATGATTGTTTGTATGTTTGTTTTCTATTTTTCATGATTAATTCAAAGATATATCAGTCCAGTTTATTTCTGTCATCTAAGCATTTATCTTCCCGAGAATTTGCTAGATGCGCACTGATAGGTAGTCTCATACTAGGATGTAATAGATGTTCAATGATTTCAAGTTTTTTAGTATTGGCTAACTTCAAATTAGTTTTCAAACACAACAACATCCCACAATAACCACAACCCTTATATTTATAAATCTTTATGAATGAAAATGTTCAATAAATGTATCAAACATATTATAGACAATGATTAAGACGCATTGAAAACCTGTGTTCATTCGAATGCATATAATAATTCAATGGTATTTATTTTGTACAGCAATCAGTGGTCTTGAGTGCTGTTAGAGGTAGAATTACGGGCGGCCAAACCAAAACGTGGCATCAGTGCTTGAAGACACTAACCTCTAGTCTGAGCCATGTTGGTAGATGCAGACTACTTGGTTGGGGTCCGCGTGACTTTCGTAACCAATGGTTGAAGACTCTTGGTGACATGGCTCAGAATCGGTCACAATGGCGTCGGTGTATACACTCCCTGTCTTCCCTTAAACTAAGAGATTAAAATCGCTTCATATCTTTCTTTCTACGAACTAATTCTATATTCCGGTACTGTATCCTTATATGCAATCTTTCTCCCATATATTACCACCTTTAACCCAACCACTCCTATGAATCCGGTGTTCATCTTGCTGTGCTAATGAGGTATGGCAACCTGGACCGATGCATATATGTGCCTGGTCCTACGTTGTAGCTGACTGACTGACTGACTGACTGACTGTACAGCAATCAAGAAACAATAGAAATGGAATATAGAACATTTCGATTTCCAAGAAATTCGATGTTTATGATTGAAAATCTACAAAATGCTGATTCAATGATTTAAATTTAGAAAAAACAATAACAAAACACTGGGTAGCTACAGTAAAATTAGTATCCCATGAACAGCCTATTGGAATGAAACAAGTTCTACTAGCATTCACTATCCCTATTTACCAATAATCTTATTATCTCAAGTTAAATTAGCTTAGTTATTATAGTGGATTGAAATTACGAAGCTAGTTTTATTTTAATAATTCAGTTATCATTCTTGAATCCAATCGCTCTGTGTCATAGCGCAAATAGACTTTAAGATTATAAATGACCATTCTACTGTGCTTCATTAGTAACGGAGTAACGAAATTTTATCATTCTGCAATTCCTTAATACTATAAAATAAAATGACTTCAGTGTGTAGTCAATAACTTTTAAGTTATCTGAATATGAACTTGTAAATTTTAATTTTTCTGAAAGTGAATTTTGCTTATTTTATTAATGAATTACTAACCTACTCCTTTATTATTTGTGCAATTAGGTTTCTACAATTTTATCGATTCAAGCATCAGATCGTGGAGTTCCACCGAAATCTAGTAAAATAGATGTTCAGATTATTATCACTGACTCACCACCAATTGGTAGAAGTCTTGGTACACTTGATGAATATCAGTTGGCTAATTTAAAATCACTTGGATTAATTGGTATCACAGAAGTGGATAATACTGGAACTGTTGAATTGAATAAACTAATCATGATGTGTATTGTTGTGTCAACAGCCATATTATGCATTATATTAATTGTTACTATTGGAGTGTTTGCTAAACGTACAACTTGTAAAAATATTTTCACCTCAATAAAACAACGTCAATCTGTAAAAATGAGAAAGACAAGAGGAAAAAATAGCGTTCCTGATGTTATTTGTAAAGATAATGATGATGATGATATTAATCAGCCGGATGAATTTCAAGAAGAGATGAAAAACCTTAAAGGTATGTTATATTACGAGGACTTTTGTGATCCACCAATATGGATTCATAAATCTGTTATGATCTATATTTGATAGTCAGCTTGCGGCTTTTATTCTAGTTTTACATTACGTTAAGATAGATTCAAATTTATTTTGCTTCTCCAGTTGGTTTTTAGTGCAAAAGTGGAAAATATCCTGTAAATTCATGCTTCCAGAACATATAAATATAATAGAATAAATGTCATTTAAGTATTTTATTTTTTCAACGTTCTGATAATTGGTCAATGGAGACTGTCTATAATGTTTACTGAAATAAGAAGGAAGCTTATCAATTGATAGTGTAAAACAAATTGTTACGGCTTTTCTGAATTTTTCCATATGATTAAAAAAATACAAATTAAATGGATAATTATGCAAATGACAGGGTGATCTATAGTTTTCTGCAGTTTTGAGAAACATTGGTCAAAAATTCAAGTGTAAATAATAAGATACTATAACAACAGAAAACGTTGGGGAAAATGAATTCACTGGGGATTGTTACTAAGATAACACCGCCATACTCGATATGTTCATATGATCCTAACTGTCTTAAAAATATCACTCACTGTTGATGTACTAGTTAATTTAGAAAGTTTATTCATAAGTAAATCGTCGTTTGTGTAGTACCTAGTACCGAACCCCACAACTTATTTCACATTGAAGATAGACTTAAAGACTGGTTTTAAAACTTTGTAATCTTATGCTGCCAGTCTACAAAGTGTTTCTGTAGGCAGTCTAGGTGCTAGACTTGAAGCTATCACGAGTTCACTTAGTATGCAAACGGAACAAAGACTTGTGACCGTAGAGCAATAATCTAGCTATTTGATGCGTCCCAGCTTCGCTTACTAGAGGAAGAAGTCCAAGCTCGGAACGGGAAAGTATATCTTGTGAACCAAAAGCACGAGTGAATAATAACAGACGCAAATCATAGCATAAAGCTGTCATCGGGAAGCATAGCGAAAATAGCATACTAAGAATACACAACAGATCAATAGCGTTAAAGATTCTCCCAAGTGGGAAATAAGACATGAAGGTAGAAAGTGTGCTTTTGGCGCAAAAACAAGAAAATTTAAATTCCCAAAATAAAATTACGAAAATACGGCATTTACCAAGTGAGTTCTGGGGATCTATCATCCCCAACATCAGGAATAGTTATACACTGATAACAATTATAAACATATTCCAGCCAAACTCTATGTCACTAGCTATTATGACGAAATAAGCTTAAACGTGGCTGAATCCGTAGAAGAGAGAAAAGCAATAGGTAATGTTTTATTTACACCAGCAAATATCTCTGCATACACTGACTTTTAAAAGGTTAATTTACAACAATTAAAATATAATCATCTGATTAGTACGTGCCACTCATTAATCAGTTATTCATGGTATCAATATAATTAATAATACTGTAATTTTCAACCTCTGAAAACACTAAATAAAGCTACTCTACTGAGTTATGAATTTATATCACTTTAATATTAATCTTTTCAGTGAAATACATGTGATCAAATCTACTGTTGGAAATCGACTTGAATACCGTATTGCCTCTTCGTACTAGAACAATGCTGTAATTTCATAAGATATTTTCCATCTAAAAGTAGTTAACGACAAAAACATCTGAATTTTCATTTATAATGAATTAAAATGTGATTATTTCTATTTAAATATGTGACTAAATAACTAGGTATATTAACCACTTAGGGTCAATAAATAGTTTAACAGCAGTTTTCATTAGTAGGAGAATTTTCGATGCAAATGATAATGCCGTAAAGTGTATTTTATTACGTAATATGAGTCCAATTCAAGTACATTTGTACATTACAATTTAGTTTATTTATTATTATTATTATTATTATTATTATTATTATTATTATTATGTTTGTTAATCTAACCAAACAAACTCCTTATTTGTATTAATATTTATCAAGATGTTTAAGTTGTTTTCCTCTTTTCTTTTTTATAGAAAAAAATTCAATTGAATTCTGTGATGTTCTATCTCATGTACAATATAATCATTATCAGGAAATGGCTCAAAAAAGTTCACTTATTCCTAAAACACCAAATACCCTAGCTGATGCAATCAAACTTGATCATTTACTTCAATTTGTTAAAGATAATAATAATAATATTGTTACTGGGGATAATGATCTTTATAATAATAATAATAATATTAATGAAGATACTTTTTCTAAATCTACATTAACAAATTTACACTGTGATAATATATGTTCACCTGATATAAGTATCAGTTTACCTTCTTATACAAAAAATAATTATACTAATGATACATTATTTATGGGACATTTAGAATGTAATCGTTTAATTACTACAGAAGTAAGTATGAATTATTAATATCATTATTATTATTATTTCTGAATGAGATCTATGATCTCTTACTGATTATTTCAAGATGTAATTATATTTACTAATCTCATATTGGATTTATTGAGTTTAAAATGTTCATTCAATTAGATTTTAGTAGCCCGTGGATCTGACTTCAATTAGATTGTATCCTCGTATTTAACCATCGACTTAAATCGCGTTAGTCAATATCGGAATTAAATATGTCGAATAACAAAAATGGACTTATGAATACATATATTTTGTATATGATGCAAATGGAATAGAGAGAAGAGAAACGACCCAGAGTGGAGATGGCTAGTAAGTCAACTCCCATTTAAACAACTGTTAATCAATAGTTATAGTTACACAAAAATAAGTTACAGACATGTGATGAGTAATCGGATAAGAAATGTACACACATCTACGCGCTCACATAAAAACAGTCAAGATTGATAAACGAATAAATAACAAGGTTAGAATGTGACTCAAGTAGAATGAATAGAATAATGGGCTGTCCGAAACCTAGAACAAGGTAATATGAGCTTAACATAATAACCGAACTACAAGACCTTTGATATAATAGTTCTTTAAACTATAATCATATGTCATTCTATATATATTTGACCTAATCTAATATGTTTTACTATTTCATATATCTGTGTAATATTTCTGAAATAGAATGATAATAAACTTCAAATCATTCTATGAGGAACTAACTTTGATTCACCTTTTTTTTCTTCAATCAATTTTCTTTAAAATCTGTATTTCTTGGAATATTTGATTTACAAACTGTTATACCTCGATCAATTATAATTAGTGAGATTATTTTATACTAAATAGTTTACCAAATTTGCATTCTTCATAATAATTTATGAACAAATATACAAAATTAATGTTTCAAGCGTGTAGACATTGCCACAAGTTCTTTGAGTCATAATTTTCTAGATGAAATGATCGTATACAACCATAAAATATCTTAACATTTGAAATCATAAGTCGATCCAAGCCAGATCATCATTGCAAATAGGTGGCATTTTCGTTCTAGAACGAGACTCATCAGTTGTGTACATTCATGATTCTTCATACTGGACTCAAACTTAAGATCTTCAGCCTCGCGCATTATCTGTTTAAGTCAGTTGTCATACTACATTCTTTCGCTACCATCTGAGATTTATGCAGTTGATAATCAAAAGAGGTTACCATACCTTTGATTGATACACAGATAAAATCATTTGCGAAAATGCCCTGGACCTTGGTTTTGTGTTCGTTAGCATAAGCATTAAAATGAGTCGGTAGTCTTAATTTGATCGATGTTTCACTTGCTGTTTCAATCGGTTACCGTCACGACCGGCAGAGTTATTACTCAGCTAAATCAGCGGTAACTAACAGAGCAACAATTTGATAAATATTCGCTGTATTCTCGACTAATTAATAAAATCTGTGAAATTATTTAGTAAATCTTTAATTGAAAGCAACTAATAAACATCTTCAAATCATACAGTACACAAACAGTGATGAGTGGGATAAATGCTCAATATTTTAACATATGAAATCGAACTATGAGATTCAACTTTTTGATTGAGATCATGAACCCATCCGTGTTAGACCACCATTGAAAACCTGGAAGCACTGAACGGACGCATCGTCCTATTGTGGGGCTCCTCGGCAGTGCGCATTCACGATTCTGCTCATGGGACTCGAACACAGGGCCTTCAGTCTCGCGCGCGAAGGCTTAACCTACTGAAGCACTGAGTCAACATCCAATGATGTTAGTGTCTAACATCAACCAATCCACGAAATTGCGCGACCATCTTCCATTGTACTGAGTTAGATACCTGTCTCTACCCGACACTGATTAGCTCGACTAGTCACAGCTTTTCACTAGAGCTCCCAGAATTTTCTCACGAAGCTAGTCACTAGTGAGCACACATGTTATTTATCATTATCAAGGATTCAAATATAATCCTATCTCTCAATTAAAATATGAAATCACAATTTATTTTAATTGATTACTTCTCTTTTGATATAAAGTTTATTACCGGTAAATTAATTTTAATAGAACATTAACGTTATAAACTTTTATTAGCCCAATAACACTGTGCTACTTTTGCAGTGAATATGAACATCAGCAGGGACAATTAAATGTGTCTGAGCACAAAATTACAGAGTATCTCACTAAAATCTGAGAACCATATAGTAAATCACTAATTTGCAAAATATCAATCCATCATCTCAAACTTGACTGATTATGTTACAAACATCAATCTATTGTCTCAAATTTCATCGTTCATGCATTTTCATACCAATTGCGTTCCGTCCCCGTTCTTTCCTCATCGACCTTCTACTGAAATACATTCTATGCCTGACCACCGTTACAAACTACTTATGTGGATATAATTAACCCACACCACAATATGTTGTATAAATTCTAATATTCAGTTCGAGATGTATTTTTCATAATAATCAGTACGTAATAGATAGATATATATATATATATATATATATTAAAGTGAAATTAACAATCATTACTAACATCTATTCAGTTAAATACCAAGGTAACTGTAAGGATTGAATCGCTTAAAACATGAAGTAATTACTTCAAATAAGATAATGTCCACTGTCAATATTGACTGAATTTAAAGAAATAGTAGCTATTAAACATTTTATAATGAATATTTTACTGTAGTTCACTGTCAAATGAAATTCTTATGGTTAGATGAATTTCGTGATCCATTAAACATCATTTATAAAATCGTTATGATATCAAATAAAAGTTGAAATACACATTTAATCTACCTTATTTGTACAAATATTTAGATAGATTATTATTCATATTCTGAAGCAAGAAATGAATTTCTAAATATGTCTATTTGTAAAGTAGTAACCATTGTTCTTTATACATAAATGACATTTTCCTATGATTCATTGTATGATTATTTCACAGGATGATTACTGTTATAAATCCAGTTAATGAAGTTAATAATATGCTAGACATATTACAGTATTTGTAGTTTATACATTAGCTTTTGTGTACAAACTGTATTTCACTAAAATAAGAAATTTCCTTCTTAACACATTCATAATAAGAAAATTCCCACTGATATTTATATAGATTATGAGATAGATATCATACCCAAATCAGTGATAAAGTATCTTATATGCTTTTCATACATTAATTTTTGCTGTTTATCTTCCTGGGAAATTATAGCAATGGATACCATTACCTTCTACTAAGATTTTTTTTTATCATAGTTTATTTTGTCTATATTTTTCAGAATAATGTATCATATACATAATACATGATGCCAGGATTAAATTAAATGTCAAATAAGATGTAATACACTGTAATCGTATATTTCAAACGTATAATTGAATTAAAATGTTAATCGCACTTTTGGTATTAAATTAGAATTTATTTATCGCTACATTTTCTGTTTTATATATACACAATTTCGTCGCTAAGCAACCAATCTTGTTAGGAAATACTGTTATATGGAAGAACCAAATTTTAAAGAAAAAGTACAAATCTTGTGGTTTTCCTTCTATATATCGATAATACTTTTAATTTAATCACTTTGACTTATAATGAAAAAAAAGAAACAACTATTGCCTAGTTTTGGTGGCAATCATTTGTAACTCCAGAAAATAACATTCTGATAATGTTGCACTCTCTCTAAATAGAATGGTTTATTATCGAGAACTTTGCCGACTGTAAATTAAGATCATTTTTAAAATAAATGAAATCACAATTGTTAACAAAAATCAAATATACTTTAATTGTCTATCATGTTCCGAATAGATCCACATCAGTTTTAAAATGCTTAAAGCTTTCATATGGAAAATTTGTTTAAGTGATATCTATAATAACTTGAACAAGATAAAAGAGCTCATTCCTAACTAATGTCCATAAGATGAATCTACTTAGTTCACACTAAATATCAAAAAACTCATTCTGTTCATTGTTTACCGGAACAAAAAAAATGCATTTTAAGCAACATAATATTCTGTTGTATAACTGAGCTCTAAAAATGTAAGTGAAACCAGTGAACTTGAAAAAAAATACTTAGTTGATACATGTGAATCATAAGTTTTCAAGTCAAAAAAATATCCTGTTACATTTTTGATTAACAAATAAAATAAAGGATTCAAAGTTGCTGCCTTATTAAAAAGCATATTGTGTTATATACAACAATTATATCTAATAAGTGAATGCATGAATCAGTTGATGCAAGATCAACATGGAAAACCTGGAAGCACTGCACGTTCGTCTCATCTTAGTATAGGACTACTTAACAGTGCACATCCACGATCCCGCCTCGCGAGATTAGAACCCTGGACCTATCAGTGTCGTGAGCTAACGCTTAACTTTTAATTGATTCAACTTTCGCTAAACTCTACATCTAGATCAAGGCTGTCTATATGATTTTGAATCTAATTACCTTAAGAAGTTAAACATTGAGCTTATAATTATCAATCAAATTTTATTACTTTTCAGTGAACCTCCACAAAAACACTTGTTTCTAAACAGACAAAGTAAGGATTTGCGTTTATTTTAGCTTACTGATGTTAATCTAGTCCGTGTGTAATCTGATAGTTGTATTTTATTTAAAAAATATCAAACCATTGGCAATATGGGATAGTTTGATCTGTATAATGTAAACATCTGATCATTTAAAGATCAATACATTGTTGAATCGTTTCATAAACCTGAAACAATAAAACTAAATCCCATGCAGTATTTTAAAAGATTATCATAATTAACCTTCATTACGTAATAAAATAACCTAACAGTTTTGATTTGCATTATTATACAAGAATGAGTTTTTTTCTTTATATTATACCATGGTATAATTATTTCTTCCAAATAGTGTCATTAATGTCGTCCTATTACTATAAATGTTAAATTTGGACTGATATTTTAATTAATCATGTTACTATAAGGTTTTGATCAAAAGCTTGGTTAAATAATCTTGGGTTTCTCTTCAACTTACGTATTACGAAATAATTGTGATGCAAACTTATGTTGATTTTTTAAGATACATGACATTTCTATGAAAATACATTTGTAAAATATTGCAACCAACTTTTTCTTCTAGTTCAATAATCTATATAATCCAATTCTTAATAAATCCTTGTTTTATATTATCATACATCATCACTATGAAAAGTAAGGGAGAGTACATTATTCCTAATGAAGATCAGTTACAAAACATTTTCTAAACGACTAATGATGTAGAATTGATAGACTGCAATTATATATATATACTCAATTAATCACAATTGATTGATTGATCACTGGATGGTAATCTTTCTCATGTACATCAAGTCCTCCTTAGCGCAGATTGAATGCTATAGACCAAGTTGCAATATGGTTACTAGTCTAGGTGAGTCGACATTGCGTAGACTATGTTGAGATAAGATGATGGTTGGAAGTAGTCAACAGAGTATCCTGTTTACTACCTCCAATCATCATCGTATTTAACTAGTAGATATTATTTAGATAAATATATACCATTTAAAGTATTAGTTTATTATAGACATTACTGTTGCAAATAAACTAGTTGATTATTAAATGACTTAAATTAACATTAGATTCAAATGGTTCTCAATACAGATTCTTCCTAAAATAAGTTTTCTTTCTTTAATTATAACAAGAATGCTTAGAATAATTTTATTCAACCAATTTAATGTAACTCTATAGATAAAATGTGTACTTATAATGAGTATGTTTTTGTTTTAAGTTAGAAAAGATAATAAAAAAAACTGTATTTATTACCCAAATATACAACAAACAAATAAAAACAACCATTTTTCTTTTTTTGCCACTTCTTCTGATGCAAAATTTGAGAAGTTTTAATAATTACACTGTAAAACTATAAAAAAAATAGAAGAATACAGAGACAACTTCGATTCAATATTATAAAAATCAATAATATAAGAGATTTATAATGGAATGAAATATCTTCTTTACAAGATCTTCTATCAATATAATTATATTCTAGTATAATTGTAATTCTCTCATCATATGCATATGAACAATCTATTTGTATTGGGATAGCAAATAATAATTGTGCTAAAGAAATAATACTAAATGTATGGTATTTTTAATGCACCTTTGGTAATTCATAGAAAAGAGAACCTTTCAGAAATTAATTTAGACTGGTTAGAATCCATTAATATATATCGATAAAAAACCTTTATTTTGTTTAGGAATGAAAGAAAAAAAGACTTAACTGGAAGTAAACATTCTAAAAGTTTAGATCATGAGTTAATTGAAGGTAGATTACCATGAAAATCCTGGAAGAACTAAAAAGCCGTTTCGTCCTATTGTGGGACTCCTCAACAGTGCGCATCGACGATCTCGCTTCGCGAGATTCGAACCAAAGACTTATTGGTGTCGCACTCAAGCGCTTAATGTTTAGATCACTAAGCCGACATCCAGTGGTGTTAATGTATAACTTCAACTAATCCACGAAACTGCGCCACTATCCACCATTGTCTTCACAATACGTAGTAAGTAAGTAACAACGTAGAACTTCGTACGTACGTACATCAGTTCGAGTTGCCATACCATATTACAACAGAAAGTAAACTAACGAATGAAATTATTATAAATAAAAACGGAAATGGTTAGGTATATTTCAGTTTAAGAGTTAAAAAAAATGTGAGCTTTTTGGCAAAACTATCTTTATTGTCGCTTGTAAACAAAAAAATCGTAATACTTCTGTTATTAAAAAAATCGCATCATATGAAACCATGTTCAGTAGATTTTAAAAAATTATTTTGGATAATTCAATCTGATTGTGTTATATCTCAGCGAGAAATATGAAGGGTAGCTGTTAATAACTATTGATGGATGAATATTATGTGTCTATTCTTAATGTATAACTAACTATTCAGTAGATAGATTATGTATAACCATACTCCTCTTATTGCAAGCTTCACTTTGACCTATAAACTATTATTATATGATTTATCGTTCGTGAGTTATGCCTAATCTACTAATAAAATTCTCCTACGTTCATAGAAATTTTTGGCCAGATTTTGTTTTAATGTTATTATATTATATTATTAGAAGCTTTATTCAACATTATATTTTTGGTACAACATAGAATTCTCAGCATAAAGTATTTCAACAAGTTTCCTTTTCTTATACCTTGATCTATTGTGACGATAAATTTTGAATGATGACCGGTTAGATGTTAGGAGTTCGGTAATCCACATTTGATTAATATTCGTTCGTTTCAATGCATATTGCCAGCCACCATGATGTCGATGATTGTACCTTTTTGTATCACGTACAGCGAAAGGTTGTAAACTTTTCATAAACGCGCCTGAACAGATTGTGTGCACAATAGACATAATGATGAGCTAAAACAAACAACAAAACAGATAACTTGATGAAATATGTAGATCGGAGGAACAGGTAGCCCAGATATTCAAGCAGGCCGCCAGTAGGATAGAACATGTATGATTTGATCAGTTTAATTTGTATATAAACTTGGTATGTTTGAAATACATTATTCATATTGTAGAGGTTGAGATTGATGTCCTGAACATAACAGGCAGTGCTAGGCAGGAAGCAGGACCGATAAGGACTTAAGATTGCTCATACGGGTTTACATGTCATCGATCCAGTCGATAAATCACTGTTCTCTAATTGGTGATGTTATTACGTTATATCTTAATATATCACAAGGCCAATAAGTTATAACAGACTGTAACTATACAATGATTAATATGATTTATTGTATGAAGTTTCTTAGATTATCTAATGATATAGTTAAATTGCTTGTTGTACGAGAAGTCACATCTTTTTATATCTATTATTAGTTGAAGTAAACATTCATTGATATGAAATCCACGAAGACTAGATCAAAGTTTACTTTCCATCCAGTGAGACAAAGTTATTATATTCCACACTGAAAGAGTTTAGTATATAGTCCAGTATGATATCGATAATAATAAAAGTAATAGATAGATAGAAATTAAAAATAGTAATTTTCCTACTTGAATTAAATATTCGAAATGCATTAATCATTAACTATTCTTCATTCATCTACGCAAAATGATTCTTTAATTTATGTTTGTCATTCGTTTCAGCAATATTTATATTTATTTTTTTTGGTTTATTATTTATATTTATATACAAATGATTAATTCATTATGAACATAGAAATACAAATAGGTGTAAATGTCAAACCTATTGTACATGCCTATACATAAATGTACATAGATACATATATTCCTATTCTGAGTTTTGTTTTAACATTCATGAACACTATTTGATAGTGTAAATTTTCTAATTGATAATCTATTGAAGATAATTGATGATTTTATTGTTATTTATAACTTAGAAGCAATACTAATCTATCAAATCAACGACAACATTATCATTAGTAATACACCTATATATTTGAATATAATCATCAAACTATATTTAGAATTAGACTAAATCCTTTCAATGATATATAGTTCTTACAATATCTGCTCTCTCTCTCTCTGTTTCTCTTGAAATGAGAAAGAAACCACGACATATGAAATATAAGCTGATTCGATAGAATAAAACTTGAAAAACAATACATCAACTTTGCAAGAAGTTAAATTGAATTTTTTTGAGCCATCTAGCTTTACGATGCGATAGCAATGGTTAAATTCAGAAATGCTATTAAGAACATGAATATTTTATTATAACTAAAGCTTATTTAATACTTTTTGATTGAGAACATTAACCCATTGATGTTAGACCACCAATGAAAACCTGGAGGCACTGGACAGTCGTTTCGTCCTATTTTGGTACTCCTCAGTAGTGCGCATCCACGATCCCGCTCGTGAGATTCGAACACAGGGCCTTCAGTCTTGCGCGCGAACGCTTAACCTACTGGACCACTGAGTCGGCCGGCATCCAATGGTGTTAGTGTCTAACATCAACCAATCCACGAAATTGCGTGACCATCTTCCATTGTACTGAGTAAAATACATGTCTCTACCCGACACGGATTAGCTTCACTGGTCACGGTTTTGTGGAGGTTATTGTAATTTAATAATTGGATTCATAAGTCAATTGAAACTAGATCATCATGGAAAACCTGGAAGCACTGGACAGCCGTTTCATCCTGTAAGTCTAGTAAATATATGGCTTGTAGTCAACCATTAAATTTTCAAAAGCTTTCTTCTTCGTGATTTGGTTTATAGTCTACTTGACCAAATATAAAATACTCGTTTGATTGCTGGAATTCTAGTAAGAAGCCGTTACTAGTGGAGTTCAACCGGGTCTGTTGAGAGATAGTAAATCACTGAAGTCAATAGTGGACGGTGGTGCGATTTCGTGAATTGGTTGAAGTTAGACATTAATACCGTTGGATGACGACTCGGTGGTTTAAACGTTAAGCGTTCGCACGCAAAACTGATAGATCCTGGTTTCGATTCACGCGAGGAGGGAAGGTGGATGCGCACTGTTGAAGAGTCCCACAGTAGAACGACACGGCTTTCCAGTGTTTCCAGGTTTTCCATGATGGTCTAGCTTCTATTGGCCCATAAATTTAATTATCAACTTATGTAATAGGTATGAAAATATTCATTGGAGTCACATTTTATCGATTGTTTGGAGTAAATGAATAGTGCAATTTAGAAGTTCAACCTTATTTTCAAATCCATGAATGCTGTTAAAAGAAGCTGGACTAAATTGTTAGGAAATTTTATTATAGTCTTACAATTTTATAACATTTTTAAATTGGTAGTAAATTATATTTAATATCCTTTGTAAACATTCGCGGCAAACAGTATGGAAGTTTAGCGGGAAACCTTCAGGTATTTATTTTATATGGAAAACAGTTGAATTTTATTGTTTATTCACAAATACTATATATTACTAAGATATAATATTCTTTTTACGCTACATTTAATATTTATTTTATTTTTGTTTTTATCGATTAGAGCGGTCGAGAAACGCATACTGAAAGTTTGCCGACTTCAGTTATAAATTCTGTTCCATACTTATCCTATACGCAGGATGCAGTGATGACTCTTCCTCGTGTATGTGCTATTCATGGAGCACCAGGAACTGCAATGAAACTTCTCGCTCTTCCATTAAATGATTCATCATATCTTGGTTGCTCTGAAATGAACAGAAATCTCTGCACCTCATCATTGAATGACGCTCCTGTTATTGATTCAGATGTCGATTCTGGTCGTGGTGGCAGTGTAAATAATATTGGTAGTTCACCAAACAGTGACCAAATTACTCTAAATCACAATGTTTCTTCCCGTAAACCAGATGCTACAGTATTCCCGGTTCATTATGTCACTGGTAGTCTGAATTTCAGTTTAATTCCAGTATCTGTAGCCACAAGTTTAAATATAACTCCATCTACATCATCTAACCCACCTGTACTTTTACCTTTATCCGAAGTACCAAATGTTTCAACAGAATCAACTTTATTAAACCCTAAAAAATATTCCAAACTAACTGGAGATAAATTAAGAGTAACATTTGCTGAGAATCCTAATGAAGAAGAAATTTCATCTCAATTAACTAATTCATTAGATGGTACAAAACCAATAATTCATTATCCTACAGTTTCACCTGATCCGGTTAAAAAAGACAAAGGCCCTTGGCGCCTTATACAATGTACATCAAATAATGTTAAATTATAATTTTTAAAAAATGTACTTAAATTTTATTCTGGAATATCAATATAAATTATAAATAATTCTTTTTGAATGTATCAGTAATTTTTTTTTAAAATAAAGACTTATTTCATCATTAGCTTATCAATTATTTATATACCATGTCTTCTTCATCCCTCAAAATATAGTATTCATTTACCCTATAACATAGTACCATATTACTTAAGATAAGACTTAGGAAATATTATTTTTAGTAAGGATTTAGCTTGAATGTAATCAATATCCTCTATTTTATGACATTTATTACATAATATCATTCTTTCAGCTTTCGCGCTTTCATAAGGACTAGCTTTATAGAGTTAATACAATGATTTTGAGAGTTTTTAATATTTCATAAATCAATCCCTTTCTCTATCTTTAACTTTAATCCATGATTAGCAGTTAAAGAGATGTGATGTTTCGAATTATTTTTCACTAAGTAATTCATTATATAAAATTACTACTAAACGTTGTAGAATATCATTTTATTTGATTAGGACTTTTCTTTAAACTTCAAAACCATCTGCTTGCTCAAGATTTCAATGTTTGGATTAGTGTGAAATCATACAGTACCACACACTCTAAGGACTTATAAAAGATAAGTTGAAAGTGTTGATCAAATGACATGGTTCAGACAATATAATACTTATAAACAAATGTTAGATAGATTGAAGATATCATGATAATATTCATTATTAAGAGTGTTAAATAACCCCAAATACAACTGAAGTTCATTATAGATTTTAGTCATAGTAGAACATGGGTAATATTTACATTGGGTTTATTGATCATGATATTTCTTGGTTGAATATAATCACATTTTCTGTTAATTAAGTAAATTGGCTAATATGGTTAAAATATACATATTTCTTTCATAATGAATGTTTTATCAGAAAAAACTAATTGTTGTCGTCTAAAACTCTCGTTATTCTTATTTTTGGCATTCATTGTTGAAATAAGCGTTGTCTTACATATATACCTAGTATACTTTCCAAGAATTAAATACAGGATGAGTTTTTAAGCAATATTTCTAACTTGGTTTTAAGTTTTTTAGTTCCTAGTTAACTTATTCAAATATGGCTTACACAGCCTAAATTAATAATCCTAATACAATCTCTTCTGATGAATTTCATTTTACATTTTTCACCATAATGCTACTACAATGAGTTAACATGGCTTCCTGTTCATTGTTTCTATCATATAAAAAGCAACACATATCGGATTGATTTTATGTACATAAATCATAATCTTCTCTATGAGATTAACTCACTTCCACTGGCAAGGTGTATAACTTATAAAAGTTTATTGGTCAACTGACAATTTGACGTTACCATATTTCCGACTGATGAAGTAATTATGCGTTCTTTAATAGCCATTTCACTTTTTCAGTAGTGTAAGTAAAAAAACCATTTTCGATAAATAAGTAATGAATAATCACAATAAATTAGTCATCCTTATCATATTAACAATGCAAAAAGTAAATAAGCATCAGATATGGTACCTAATTTGCACAATAGATTGCATATAGAAAGAGATTCCACAGTTTTTCCCTCATTTGAATGTAATCACATAGTCGTAGTGATATGTAAAAATATCAATGAACGTAGTTACACACTAGAACTTTAAAAATAAAGAGCCTTACAAGAAACATTAAACTTTGTAGTTAGTAATTGGATCCAGGATAAGCGTTTTATCTTACTAGGAACTTATTGACTAGATGTAGCTGCATCCCAGTTCAAATGGCTTCTTCCTAAAGTTTTATCCATTAATTATTTTGAATCTTAGTGTCAACATAAACTTTTTAATGCATGTCATCTAGCTAATAGTTTCTCAGTAGGACAAAATGAGTTTCATCATTTCCAACGTTAACTTCTATTCAACTATATTAAAATTTATGGCTAAGAGGCTATATCAAGACAGTCAACTAAGGATGTAAACACGCAAACGGCGGTCGATCAACGACAGTCATATACTTTTTCTCACATAATCTTAATTTCATCTTTAACAAGAAACACATATATTCGACAAAATAACTAGATTTACGGCCACCCATATAGATTTCCATTAACTAAATTCATAATCATCATTTGACACATTCTAAGTAATATTATGCTATTTAAAAAAGAAAAACTAAGAAATAAGTAGAATAAATAAAAAGTTAAATAGAGAAAAATGAAAAAACAAAAAAGTGACAGTTACTAGCCCGTATATGCAACATAAGTATATACATATAGAATTCCACTTCATATTTCTTTATCGAACAATGTTCATAATCGTTACTTTATTATAAAATGAAAATGTAAATGAAATTGTCACAGTTAGTAAAATGAGGAAATATTGTATTTAAATATAAAATGACAAAAAGCTAAATTATTCTGTAGTGAAGGTGAACACAGGTGAGGACAACCGAATTATATTAAGCACAAAATTACAGAGTTACTTGGTAAAATAGAAAAAAACATACTATAATACTTAATTTGCAAAATGTTCAATAATTGTCTCGAAATTCATTGTTCTTGCATTTCCATACGAATTTCTTCCTATTCCCGTTCTTCCTTACTTGATCTTCCCCATCTTCTACCGCCAGACATTATATTCCTGACTCTCGTCATATACTACTTATATCAATATAAGTAGCACGCACCACAATTCTTTCATTCAACCAGTTTAATTAATTGAATTTACTTTTTTAACTACTTTCCCCTTACTTTCCCCATTTAAAAATATCTACATTTTAGTAAGCTTAATAAATATTGGTACTCTAATCAGTTCTTATATTATGATCGTTTATTTCAACCATTCATATATAGTTTTCAAATATTAATTGGTATATGTTGAATGTGTTTGTTTGCTTTCATCATTGACTGTTGCTTGTAGAATTTGGATTTTTATATCAATTGTCGATTGTAAAGACAAAAACAAAATAACCCTTAATTAAAAGAGACTTCATTATCATTTACATTTTTACAGGATATTTTTTTGTTCTGAAAGACTAAAACAACACAAATATAGTAGTATGTTCTATGTTACTTCAACTTAAAAAAACACACACACATAACTCAGTATTTTAGATAAAATAAATCAATTATTGTTTACCATTTAAGTTTGTTTGAATTTACGGAAATTTGTAACCATGTAAAAAAACTGAATAAAGAAATTCTGTGTACACTGATAGACAGTGTGTACAATCATGTTTATTTATTTTTATTCAAAATACATGTTACATAGTTTATATAACTCAGATTGTAGCTCATCTAAGGTTAGTACCGGTTCTAAGTTCTGATAAAGAAGTAGGGTTGAACATGGGACAAGCAGCCTTATCCCACAGAAAACGACTTTGATAAAAAACGCTGACCAGAAAAAGTAATTGAAACAGTTTAAATTTTACCCTCCGAGTTGAAGGATCTTCTTTCAGAAGAATTATGATGTCTCATGATGAAAGCTAAGATTTTTTGTAGGTTACGAAGTCGATGCTCAGTCTAACAACCAATGCAGTGATTGTTTTAGGCAAATGGAACGTCCAGAAAATGTAGAAAACCATACGAAAATGAGGAGATACAAGTTGACGGTTCTCGAAGGCAGTAAAACCCATTGGATCCAATCTAGACAGAAAAGATTACATTCTGGAGAGATGATACTGTACTCAGATCATGAACAAAAAATGGTCCACACACTCAGAGAATTGATCTAATGCTGTTCAAGCAAGCACGAAATGCCCTTACAGGATGGGAATCTCATGGATCAAGAATCATCAAAGTACCTTTCTGTTATAACTCTCGGTTTTACTTCGTCTAACGTTATGACGGTTGGAGTTCTACGTTTACACGTACTGGACGTTAATTTACCTTAGACGAATACCTACATTAGATTCCCTCTCAGTGTCTATGATATATGACGTCAACACAACTCAGATCAAGAACACGTAATTAGGCTGACCACGACGTAATGTATTTCCACACCAAAAACCCGACACAATCCAACAATAATGAACAATCAATAATAAGTGAGTCATACTAAGAATAGGGGAATATATAACTCATCTGACATCTGTCAACTATCTACATGTATGACTAAGCAGATAACCAATCATTATCATTCTCGCCCACACATCACTTTCAAAGCCAACAAGTAGGGAATCACAGTGAATGTTATCCAATGTTATGCACGCACCAATGATAACAATGACGACGATAAGGATCGGTTCTATGAGAGGCTACAATCAGTCATTGCGAAGTGCTCAGGAAACGACCTGATCATCCTAATGGGAGACCTTAATGCCAAAGTAGGAATAGACAACACTGGATACGAAAATATAATGGGACAACATGAACTGGAAGTAAAGAATGAGAATGGTGACATTCGCAAATTTATGTGCATTTAACAAAATGGTTATAGATGGCACTGTATTCACACACAAACACAAGCTGCATGGGTCTCATCGGACCACACTACAGTATAAATGTCATAAGGACAATTGAAGACGTGAGAACCAGGAGAGGAGCTGATATCGCTTCAGATAACCACTAACTGGTGGTTGTCAGAATAAAACAGAAGCTAGAGAAGCATTAGACAACTGGACAAACATCATTACAAAGGTTCACTACAGCCTTCAAGTAACTGACAATCTCAACAGGTTACAAGCCTTACATGATCTAGCGGAAGAAGATGACATTACGATGAAGGACGACTGGGAAAAGATTAAAGAAGCACTGACTCCAATGTGTCAGGAGGTTTTGAGTCGAAACAAACATCATCATCATGTGGAATGGGTTTCTATGAAAACCCTGGACAAGATTAAAGAAAGGAAGAAGAAGAAGAAGAAGAAGAAGAAGAAGACAACAACTAAAATCAGCCGAACATGAACAGAAATACGTGGAAGACCTAACAACGACGGCAAGAAAAGCCGCAAGAGAAGGAAATATGAAACAACTATATGACACAACGTGGAAGTGGATAGGACACACATTGACGAAAGCACCTAACTGCATCACGAGGCAAGCCCTTACATGGAATCCTCAAGGCCAAAGGAAATGAGGAGGACCAAACAACACATTACATCGAGAAATGGAGACGGATATGAGAAAAATTAACAAAAATTAG